TTTCAAAATTATATCTATAAGTGTATTTTGATTAGCATGATTTTACTGCATACGCTCCGTGAAAAATTAGATTCTCACCGGCTGATATTCTATTTCCACTGTGTTGTGAATTGAGATTGAGAATATCATAACAAATTTAGATCTGAAGCACACAAAAAGAGGTAACGTGTTCATGCGCCTGGCGTATTTAAATTATAAACTAGTAAATTTTATGTTAAGAAGCAGAGATAATACAATTTTGCGTAGAGCGACAATACTTATGTTCCTTATATTTCTGCACACGAGTAGCATAAATATCAGGCTTCATTTTTAATTTAAATTTCTGTCTCCTTATCATTTTTAACCCTTTATTTTTATCAAATGATCCCATTCATTTTGAGCTTTAATTAGAGTTGACAACCTCTCGAGTCCTAATTCAATGGCATCTCACATTTCTTCTCATAAAAAAGGTTGTGGTCCTGTATCTTAAAATATTAACAATTTGATGTCAGTGGGGAGATTGTGGATCCCTTCTCTAATGGAGATACTGTTGAAATAAAAATAAATAAAAAAACAGAGTTAATGATAATATTCGATGTATTATACATGATACGAGTTGAATCCACAAATCCAGCCTGTTTAACTCATAGAGCATCAGAGTTGGTTGACATAGTACATAAGTACTACCTCGGGTCTTTAATATAAAAATTTATTTAATTTTTATTTTGATCATAATTATAATATCCTAGTTTATTTTGTATTTTATATTTATTTATTTTTTCAAAGTAGTCATTGTAATAATAATAATTTTAACTAATATATTTAATTAGTAAACATATTTTAAGAAAGATAACACTTGTTTATTACAAATAACTAACTTAACTAATTTTTTTAATCTATTCAAATTAATTAACTAATTAACTAGCCGTTAGTCATCGAAGGTTAGTACTTAAAAGTAGGGGTGTGCATGGACTAGACTGGACCGGGTTTGTTATCAACCCGAAGTCTGGTCCAGTAAAGACCTCGGGCTGAAAAAAACAGCCTGAGGTCTGGTCCAGTCCAGTGCCAACCCGAGGTCGGGTTGGACTGGACTTGGTCCTTTGGACTGCCTGGACCAGTCCAGGCAGTCCAGACCTAATTTTAATTTTTTTTTTTAAATTTTTTTTCTTCAATAGGAGGTAAGATTGTAACTTACTATATAAAATTTTGCATATATTTTAATTCAAAATTTATCAAATTTGATCATTCCTTTTCAATTTCCCAATGAAGTCATGTTTATTAATTAATCCTCATCAATATAGATCTTAAATTGTAGAAAATATATATGCATGCTCATTACTTCGAAAGTTAATAGATAAATCTTAATTATTTGAATAGATAAAAAATTTATATAGAAAAATTAAATCAAATTAAAATTATATAAATAATAATTTAAAAAAATCGGGTTAGACTGGACTGGACCAACTGGTCTGAGGGGTCAGTTCCTAGTCTAGTCCAGCCCGATGAGACCAGTCCGGTCCAGTCTGGTCCAGTCTTGTTTCGGGCCAATTTTTTCTGGACCGGACTGGACCGGGTTTGTTCGGGTTGGACAGGACCATACCAGACCACCGGGTTTTGGCACAGCCCTACTTAAAAGAGTGTTTGTCACACAAGGCTGCACTTGCTTCTTCTTTGAAAAAAAAATATATTATATTTTAATAAATATCTAAGAATATTGCTACCTGAAAAAATATTCATAGGACTAAGGGTTTGTTTGGCAAAGATCTAAAACCATGGTTTTGGATTAAAATAAGGGAAAAAATCAACAAACCACGATTTTGGGTCAAAACTATCATTTCAAAAAAAGTGAATCCATTATGCTTTTGACTCAAATTAGAGAGTATAATTGTACTTGTCAGAATAGATCTCAACAGTAATATAATTTTAACACCCCACATTTTATAAATATATTCACATATTAATTATTTATTAATTAATTATCTTATATATTATTAATCATGTTGGTAAAAAGTACATTATTAACAATTTTATTCCTTCAAATTAAAATATATTATAAAATCTATCTTTTATATAATTATCATATTAGCTTATGCTATTTTTAGTAATTTGTATATATAAAAAGTGTTTATGATAATAGTATTCAAACACTCATATTTTATCAAAATTATTTTTTCACAAAAATCTATTCTTTACAAAAATCTATTCCTCTATAATTTATTTTTAAGAAACCATTTTTTAAATTATGATTTGGTTTAATCTAAATAGCCCTGAGATCTCGGCTCATGTTTATGAGTCACATCAACGGGTGAGGACTCAAGTAGTCATTTCGATTGTAGGACAAATAATATTGTTTTTTTTAATATAAAAACTAAATAATTAGCTTATACATATTAAAAAATTAATTAAAGTAACTATTATAATAAATAAACACTATTTTTTAAAAATATTTTTATTAATTATGTGTATTAGAATTAAAATTTTTAACATATACATCTATTATAAAAACTTTTTTAAAAATAAAAAAATAAAATGAAATGAAGTATTATAAAGGGAAAATTCTAATCAAATCCATTTGAAATAGAAAAATCCTAATTTAAGCCTGTATTTTTAACAAATTTTTAATTAGGCTGAGAGGCCTAATTGGAGATTTCTAAATATTACAAAAAGACCAAAATGCCTTTCATAATTAAAAAGCCTAATTTTAGTTTTAATTCTTTTAATTGAATTTAACTAACATGTTTTTTCTTTAAATATTATCATATGAAGATTTGGCCAAAAACATTATCATATAAAAAAATCACGATTATGGCCAATAAAAAATAATTGAAAAGTCAAGATAAAAAAATGCATAATTTCTAGATATCCATAGAATTACAAAAATATGGGAACTAATAAAAATTTTATGATTTCAAATGTCAAAGATTAACAAGATCAAAGATTTTTTTTTTGTGCAAGAAAAAATCAAATAAAAGATTCACGAAATTATTGAATATCTATTAAAATTAATTTTACTGTTTCAAAAATTACATTGAGATTCATCAATTCATCTTCAATCTTTCAGTTCCAAGATTTATTCAATATCAAATTTTTATTATATAAAAAATAACTAAAAGGTCATAAATTCTAGAGTTGACATAACGTTCACAAGTATGAAACACAACTTTGACATAAAGTTAAGAAAGACCACATCCTCGTTAGTAAATCTACTAGAATAATTAAAACTAAAATTTGGCTTACACCTACATTCAATTTTCTTTTTTGATTACAAAGAGACATTTTGGTCTTTTAGCAACATTTGAAAATCTCTAATTAGGCCTATTGCCCTAATTAGAAATTTGTTAAAAGTATATGCTTTAATTGAAATTTCATTATTTCAGATGGATTTAATTATGATTTTTCCTATTATAGATTAAACCTTCAGCCACATTTAAGACTGGAGAAATCAGAAATGATTATTGATACAGTGCTAATTCCTAACTGACTGTGGTTTGAAAAGAAATACTTCCACATCATTCAACAACAAATTATAAAAATAGTTTGAATTTAAGAAATAAATCTCATGTTTTTTTTTTTAATTTTTATGCCTCAAGAGTTTTATGTAGCCTGAATTCAATTTCCCACCTCATCTTCAACCCTATTCTTTTAACCTTACTTAACCGATTTCAAGTTGACTCTATAATAATAATTCCCATCATCACACCTGGTCTGCTAAAATTCGTCATCATAAAATTTGAAACGGAATAAATTATTAAATAAGAAAGCAAGAAGCTCCGTGCATATTATTTTTTTTTTGGGATATTACCCTCCCTCTAAAATACAACACACACACATATGTATAGATACTACTTCCAGTCCTTAATATAAGATTTTGTTTGATTTTTATTTTGGTTCTAAATATAAAACCTCAATCCACTTTATCTCTTATATTTATACATTTTTTTTCTAAAATAGTCCTTCTAATAATGATAGTTTTGGTCAATATACTTGATTAGTAAAGATATTTTAGAAAATACAACACTTATTTATTACAAATAATTAACTTAACTTATTTTCTTAATCTCCTCAAATTAATCAACTAACTCTTATAATTAGAACTGAAAATAGTATAATATTTACACACGTGTTCCTTGCATTTTTCTAATAAGCTATAGCCCTCTTTTCCTTTTTACCAACTAAAAAGCATGTACTAACCATTCAAAGTTATAAGTAAAACAGAACTCGCTAACTCTCACTCATGGAAAAAACCTTGTATACTATGCGGTTAACTTACACCTATAGGACTGTAACCCTTGTTTCTTTCTTTGTAAACTACTGGTTCCTGTATCTAATATAAAAAATTAATTGACTAATTTAAACAAATTAAAAAAAATAATTAAGTTAGTTATTTATAATAAATAGATATTGTCTTTATTAAAATATTCCTGCTCATCACGCGTATTAATTAGAACTACTATTTACTGTTAAAAAAAATTAGAACTACTATTCAATAAAATATTTAATATATATAATTATTATAAAGATTATATTAAAATAAATAAATAAATAAATATGAGAGATTTAGTATTTAAAATCAAATATGTAAAACAAATTTTTATATTACGGATCCATGAGCGTTTTCATGATGGAGGAGAGATTCCAAGACCGATTTATTGCAGGGAAACTTGGATTCATAGCCAGCAAATAGAGGTAGAATAGAAATGCGTCAATTCCGGCAGCACCAGGCAGGCGGATGAGGATAAATTGCGTCTTATGCTGTTTCCCATTTTCGATAACTACCCCCAACTCCTGTTATATATTATTATATTATTATTATTGGCATGACAAGTTGTTTATTTGAATAGTGCACGTGTTAGATAAGATTCACAGGGTGCAGATTCGGAGCTGCATAATAAAGTATAACGGGCGTTCTAGATGAAACCTGGTAAGGCGAAATAGTGACGGCCTTGAGAGGGGGGGACCCACCAACACAGGGGGCTGCCGATGCCACGAAGAGGCCCAGGAAGATTCTGGTATGCTTCATCTCAATACTCTGTGTCAAAACATGGTCAAAATAGCTGGCTGGCTTGCCCCATTTGCCCCACCTAAGCCACTATGATTCTCTTCCCCTCTCTTCTTCATCTCAAGTCAAAGCTCTCATCTTTTTCTCTCGCTCCCACCCCTTCTTCTCCTTTGTTCTCTGGTTCTCCCTCTTCCCTCTCACTCTCCCCGCCCTCATCCCTCCTCCTCAATGTCTCCCTTCTTCTTCTTTTTCTTTGTTTCCCTCGCCTTCCCACTTTCTTCCCTCTCTGCAAACGACACCGCTCTTAATGCTCCCTGCCCTCTTAACTTCACCGTCCTCAATGTTGTCGCCGGCGGTGACCAGCCCTCTCTCGACTCCAGCACTTCCTGCGATTTCTCCCGCTCCGCCATCCATCTCGTTCAGTCCGATTACCTCCGTCGCACCGGCTTCTTCCTCCCGCCTCTCAACTCTTCCGAGACCTGCTGGGATAATTTCCAGAAGTTCATCAATCAATACATTCCCAACTTCAACGTTCGAACCGCTTGTGGCTTCCAAACAACCTGGATCTCCCAGGGATGCCAGAACATCACCACTAAAAAGACTTCGTGTCTCGGGTTCCCGCCTCGGTTATTCAGGATGTCGGGCGGAATTGCAATCAGTCCCTCGAAAATAACTCCCCCTGCGCCCTCTGTACTACGAGCTTGTCGAATGTGCAACCTTATGTGAAAGGAAATTCGACCGGGAACGTCTCCGATTGCACGGCCTATCCCCCAATTTACGCCGCCGCTTATGCTAATCAGGCTGGACCCGCCGACAGAGGCACTGCCCAGTGCGTGTTCCTTCTGAGCTTCAAGTCGCCGGCTTCCAAGGGTAATAAACGAACGATTGTTATTGTGGCGGTTGTGATTGTTTGCGTATTGGCTTTGTTGCTGGTGATTGCTGGGTTTTGGCTTCACCGGAGATCGAAGGAGAAGGGCAAGAGGGGTATTAGTAAAACTGAGGTGGTTGTCGTGTCTGGGTTGGATTCTATGAAGGAGAGCACCACTTTGATTAGATTTACATTTGATGACATCAAGAAGGCAACCAGGAACTTCTCTAGGGATAACATAATAGGTAGAGGAGGATATGGAAATGTGTATAAAGGGTTTCTCCCAGATGGAACTGAAGTTGCATTGAAAAGGTTCAAGAACTGTTCTGCTTCCGGAGATGCAAGTTTCACTCATGAAGTTGAGGTCATTGCCAGCGTCAGGCATGTAAATTTAGTTGCTCTGAGAGGTTATTGTACGGCCACAACCAATTTAGAGGGTTACCAGAGGATTATCGTTTGTGATTTGGTGAAGAATGGGAGTCTCCACGATCACTTATTTGCTTCCACAGGAAAGAAACTCAGCTGGCCAGTCCGTCAGCAGATTGCTCTGGGCACTGCAAGGGGATTGGCTTATTTACACTATGGGGCTCAACCTTCCATCATCCATAGGGACATTAAAGCAAGTAATATCCTTCTGGATGAGAAGTTTGAAGCCAAAGTAGCAGATTTTGGACTTGCTAAGTTCAACCCTGAGGGAATGACTCATATGAGCACGCGGGTAGCTGGAACGATGGGCTACGTTGCACCAGAGTATGCATTGTATGGACAGTTAACAGAAAGAAGTGATGTCTTCAGTTACGGTGTTGTTCTTCTTGAGCTTTTGAGCGGGAAGAAGGCTCTTCAGATGAACGAGGATGGCCAACCCTCATCTTTGAGTGACTTGGCCTGGTCATTGGTTAGGGCAGGTAGAACTTTGGATGTCATTGAAGATGGCATGCCAGAACCGGGTTCGCCAGAAGTGCTTGAGAAGTATGTGTTAATAGCTGTTCTTTGTTCACACCCTCAGTTATATGCCAGGCCAACAATGGATCAGGTCGTGAAGATGTTGGAGACTGAGCAATCAGTGCCGTCAATACCAGAACGGCCAATTCCTCTCGTTGCCGGAAGGATTGATATTGAGAGATCTGCGGGCAGCTTTGGCGGCTCTGGTCAGCTCTCTAGTCCAACAGGTTATCGAACATTTGCATATGAAAGTGAATGCCATTCTTCTAATTCAAAAGAGGAAGAAGGAAGTTCTGATTCGAGAATACCGAGTACATAATATCTGAGATGTTGAATTGTTTTTCACTACTTAGTATAGGCATGATTTGTTTGCAGATTCAGATTTGTAAAGGCAAAAGGAATGTATTTAAATTGATTCTTTCAGAGTATAGTGATTAGAGCCTGCGGTCTGCATAGTAAAAAATGAGCCCCGCCTGTTTCAGTATCCTATCACTCTGTTCAAACTGAGTTCATAGAGTACTGATTAGAGAAGATGCATAGGAGCTTGGCTCAGTTAATTCAAGTGGCGACAGAGGATCATGCGTCCGCAGAGGATGATAACCGTTTCGAGTAAAACAGTGTGAGGTCGAAAATGACCATTTTCAAATACAAAGAATGAGGCTAACTTGTTGGCTCGCTTGTGCGGTAACGCAGGTTGCGTCTTTATAGATGTTGGCTTCCATATTACTATTGGGCAACGAAAAGTAAACTCCCTTCGACATTAAAGAGTTGTAGCAGAATATTTTGAGCGGGACGAAACCTGTGCAAGTGATCTATATTTTATAGCCCATCACCACATGCTTATATCGTTTCTTATTCAAACAGTTTAGAAATAAATGGGCATTAAATGATATCCTCCGTAAACATAGCCGCAGATTTAGTCAAATGCTACCAAACTTGTTCCGCTCAATTTTTTTTTTTGGGGACCAGCAACTTGTTCCCCTCAGTTTAGTCTAGTGGATAATCAGGTAATGTATATTTTTAATATTTCATCTCTATAAATTTTTAACTAAAACCTTGTCGCACTTTTTTTTAAATAGGAACAAGTTCGTCACCATCATTAGAAGTCGTTCTATTATTATTATTTTGGCTAATATAAGTCGTTCTACTGTGTCATCAAGTTAAGTATGTTCCACCTGAGGCTTGTTCTAGTAATAAGCATGACTGAACGAGATAGGGATAAAACATCTAAAGTTCAAACTTTTCGAAAATAACCCGAAAAGATTTATTCATCAGAGGAAAAGACCCAGAATTCGAAGTAGTTAGTGCTCATTAACATGTGCAATGAATCATTTAGGAAAAAGAATATCCTGCACAGCTCATGATACATGAATTCATATTCAACTTATAAGAGTCGTCTGTGAATATGGTCAAGGAATAACAAGCGGGAATCACCTTAAATTAGCATTTAATCAAAAGCTATACAAAAGACCAAAAAACAAAAGATGCATAATACGCCACATCTTACTTCTCTTTCACATTCCACTAAACCTATTTTTCTTTTCAGACTCAAAAAGAAAAGAAAGAAACTGTATACATATCACAGAATCAGGAAAGAAGCAGCTGGGTCAAATCCAACAGTCCCATATCCCAAATATTTCAACAAAAAAGGAGGATGAAAAATCAAACTCAATCTTTCTGTTCAGATTTCATAGACCAAATACCTTTTGACTGGTTTGACTGTGTTATTCTCAAGACTTTTTGCCCCCGCTTTCGCTGCTTCTTCACATTTTCTTCAGGATCGCTATTTGATTTCACAACGTCAACTTTCACTATGTGATGATCTGATGTCCCTTTGGAAGATAGAACCAGATAGGACCCTGGAACGAACTTGAATGGAGAATTTGAGGATGATAATATGTAATCAACCCGGGTTCCATACTTACAAGTTCCCTGGACACCTGCACGTTATGTTAAGGACCGAGTTATCACCTTTCAAATACCAGAAACTTGACAAAAGGCTTAAGAGATTGTATTTGTACTTTGGCCTTTGGCAATCATGACCACTGACTCGCACTCCCCACTAAATTCTTTTGCGTCTGTGTACTGTTTACTCTTCAGATATCTCATCAAATCAGATTTTGGTGTTGGCTTCCCCATCTCTTCATAGTACTGAGTATAAGAGATTCCATATCAAGGTGAGACCTATTGAAGAATGAGATAGATGCCCATGCTTCTATGTTTATTTATGAATAAGTTGGTCTAATTAACAAGTTATATACGCATATACCTTTGCAATATCTGTCCATCTCTCTTGGGAATAATCAGTTTCATCAAGTGAATTAAGACCTCCAGCCAAGATGTGAGGCTCATCATTACATTGGATTATTGCGTTCATCTGCTTCATTCGCCAATTCTCATCTAAATGATCAAGGTGAGTACAGTAGAAATTGACTTCTCCTGCTTGTGGTACCTCAATGGTGGCCTTCAAAACATTCCTGTGGCAAAGAGATTTTCAATTTGTTGCACGTCACATTCAGCCTTGTTGTTAAGTCATTCTCTTAACCACAGAATTTCAAATCTAGCTACATTTTTATTATATCTTTCTCATCTGATTATTGCTAGTACAGGTTGGATTTCCACTAATGTAAGTTCCAAAATTATTTTAATCGATGGTCATTAACAAGACATATCTTTAGGCTAAATCAAGATAAATTTCTTATACGGGATATGAACTCAAACCAAAAACAGAAATGTATATTATTATGATATTCTTCGTATTCAGTATTAGACAAGTTAAGCATCATGCTACAGTATTTCTTAAAACCATTTAGTTTCTTAGGATATGAGAGTTTACTTAAAAGAAACACAACAGTAAATGTTGCAATAAACCAAGAGAAGTAAGCTTATATTCAATGTCCGTTGCAAAATCCATTGAAAGTCAGTCATAAATGACGGGACACCGTGTCAGGAAGAAAATTTTTCAGTTAATATTTTTAGATGCGACTAGTTAAGAGTAATAGATGAAAGAATCAGCCATAAATAAATATCTTCACAATGGTTTTGGCATAAATTAAAAGAATATTACTATCAAGAGAACAATGATGACAACGCAGAATACTTCAGAAGTAGGTAGGATGTATCCTGGCCTGCCTCAGCGCATACAGCTATTACAGTTGGCATTATCATTGCCCACTGCAAAATAGCGCGTAGGAGGGGGAAAAAACACGCAAAAAAGAAGAAGGAAGAAGCAGAGTATAGCAAATGAGGATTATTGTGGTATTATAATCACACTTCGAGAAAAGCTAATATAGAAAAGTTTTGGAATAATTGGTGACTTTACGAGAAAAGTGATTATCTTTCTACTTTTTGGGTAGTCTGCGAAGAGGCGATGAAGTTTCTACGAAACGCAGTTGAACAGTAAAAGAGAATGTAATTATGAATTTATGATAAAAAAGAGAGAAAGAATCGTGAAGTTGATGATTGGTTGGGGGGGGGGGGAGAGGAAGTATCGTCACCTGAAATCGGTGTCGTCAAAGATTTTCTGAACTTTCCAGTGTTTAATCGGCCACTTCGACAAGATGGCGTTGCCGTATTCAGGAGCCCAGCTTTCAGCAAACACGTAATTCATTCCCAGTAAGGAAGCCAAATCAGACAAAGGCTTCATTCCATTTTCTTCCTCTGCCTTCACATCTTGAAGCGCCAAAATATCAGCATCCAATTCTCTGAGAACTTCCAACACTGTTCTACTGCTTCTGTTAGACGTATATCCCGAAAGACTCGCAGATGCTTTCATAGGAACCTTCCCTTTGGAAACAACATTCGAAGAGCCCTCTTTCTCGTACTCCGAGAAACTCGATTGCCGGCTTCGCAGCAGAGAAATTTCATTGTCTGGTAAATTGATCGAAACTCTCAACTTGGATTTCGCGAACTTCTCTTGATTGCTGACACTGTCTGGACTATTCATGGAATTTGGATGCAGAGGGGATTGCTTAAGTATGCTTTTCGGGCGATCATTCGCTGACTTTGCTCGTAATTTCACGTCCGAGGGTCTTCTGGTTATGACGGTGCCACCATTCTCATCGTCAAAGGTGGCTCCTTTTTCTGCCTTAGGAAGAGCAGGAGCCATGGAAAACAGGGCAGCATTAAATGTCGCAATCCGTACTGGTTTCTGTGACTCTGGACTACCCAATTGGCTATTGGGATGAACCAAGGCGAACCCATTGGCGCCGCATTCACGTTTAGCGTCGCGCGAAGGTGCAGAGTGTGATTTGCCGAACCTTTTGATGACAATTTTGGAGGAGGAGCGGCGGCGAAGTGGCCACCGGAGATTAGAGCAGAAGCGACGGAGGGTCTTGTTGAAGAGTTTGATCATAGTGGGAAAATGGGTATGTGACTGAAGTTGATCGCGGCGAGGGGAGAGAGCATGGGACGGAGGGCTGTGGTATGGGACTTGTAGTTGCGGAGTTGTTTTCAACTCTGCCTTCTGCTTCTGTCTGGCATGAAGTCTAATTGAATAAAAGACTAAAATGGTGGCTTCCAAGGAGCTATGCGAAAATATGGGATTTTTTTTTTAATAGGAAAAAACAAAAGGTTTCAAAATTAAATAAATGATAATTTATTCATGGCTTTAAAAAAAATAATGATGATGATTAAATACTAACTATATATGATAAATAGATCAAAATACTTTGAGAAATTGCTTGATCATACTTTAGAGAGGAAGGAATCTTCTAGGGAATGGGTTTGGCGACATTTGGCAGTCCCTCAAAGTTTGCTCATTCTTTCCTTTCTTTTTTTCCTTTTGCCTTCAAAAAAAAAATGAAGTGAAGCTAATCCATCCCTTTTAACTCGTTAGTACGAATCAGTTTTTGACCTGAGTATTGAAAAACGAGTTAAAAGATGGTTACAAAAAATTAAATTTGTCGGGAAAATTATATTGAATTCTGGCACCATAATTATGTTAAATCCAAACGAAAAGTCTTTGCAAAATGTGATTAATAGTACTAACGACAAGAGAAATGACGGAAGATAAGCGGAAGGGAGGGCTGGTCAATGTGTTTTAGTATTTTGGAAGGTAAAACGTTATTTAATAAAAATGTTTAACGGACGACTGAATAATAATAATAAAAAAATGATTTTAAGACAATGAAGCTGCCAAGTGGGGCGTCACACAGTGACAATGCCATGTAAGTCAGATGGATTCCTGTTTGGAACGCCAAGTCACTTAAAACCCGCCGTCCCCTTCTCCCATAAACCCACTGTATTACCAAATTATTACTCCTCCGGTCCTTATTATAAGACCTAATTTAACTTTTTATTTGGTCCTAATTATAAGACCCAATCCATTTTGTCTCTTATATTTATACATTTTTTTTCAAGATAATCCTTCTAATAATGATAGTTTTAGCCAATATACTTAATTAGCAAGGATATTTTAGGAATGACAACACTTGTTTATTATAAATAACCAACTTAACTTACTTCCTTAATCTCCTCAAATAAGTCAATTGGGTCTTATAATTAGGACCGGAGGAGTATTATTTTTTAATAAGAATAAGGGCAATTTAAAGTTTTTAGTCCATAAGTTAGTACTAGTTTTATTTTTAAGAAGTTAAATTAAATTGCCCTGAATCTGTTATTATCTCCTGCTTACTTTTATATGATGTTTCTCTCCACTTTTTTCTCCTTGAAAGATTGATACAATTTATATTAAAATTTGATGTTTTCAAATCTAATGTGTTATAAATATATTTTTGAGAGTCCAAGTTTTAAAAATCAATAAATTAAAATTTAAATGGTTGAAATTTTATAAGTTGAAATGGGAAGAAAAGAAGGTATGCATACGAACATTATACAAAACACACCAAAAAGTACACGATCACCACAAAATACTCCTTCATTCTCTGATGTATGGCCTAATTTAAAAATTGATATTGGTCCTATGTGCAATGTCTGTTTTACATATTTATTAATTTTTTTTTAAATTAACTATATTGATATTTCATCAACAACAATCAAGTAGAGGAAGAAGAAAAGAAGGAATTAATAAAAATAATTAAAATATATATATATATATATATTTAAATACTACCCCCGGTCTTTAATATAAAATTCTATTTGATTTTTATTTTGATCTTAAATATAAGACCCCAATCCATTTTGTCTCATATTTATTTATTTTTTTCAAAGTAGCCCTTCTAATAATAATAATTCTAATCAATACCCTTGATTGGCAAGGATATTTTAGAAAAAACAATACCTATTTAAAACAAATGACTAACTCAATTTAATTTTTTAATCTTCTCAAATTATTTAACTGATTTTTATAATTAGGACATGAAGTAGTAATATTTCTAACGTACTCAATCAAGTTCATACAAAGTGTGTATCAGAAGTTTTACGTTCGTGTCTTATCAAATTGACTATTATGGACAGTGGGTGTCGTTTTTGACTTTGCCAGATACGATAACTAATAATGTACTACCTCCTGTCCTTAATATAAGACCCCGTTTGACTTTTAGTTTGGTCTTAATTATAAGATCCCAATCCATTTTGTCTCTTATATTTATGCATTTTTTCTCAAGATAGTCCTTCTAATAATGATAGTTCTAACTAACACACTTAATTAGTAAAGATATTTTAGGAATGACAACACTTATTTGTTACAAATAACTAACTTAACTTACTTCCTTAATCTCCTCAAATTAGTTAACTGGGTCTTATAATTAGGACCGGAGGTAGTATTATCCAGTAACACCCATGTAATGCCTCGCATCTCGCACTCAATAAATAGTGACAATATAATATAAAAAATATTATAGTTGGGATTTGGTCCCATTTTCCACCTTCTATAAATTATTAATGCCTACTCATTCATATTAATATATTCTTAACGCTAACAAAATAAAATATTAATCCCTATAACTTTCGGGAGCAGGTAATTGTTTGCCATCAAGAAGGAGAGCCTCCTCTTCATTTTCAGTGACTGTGGGCCCCACAGGCTTAATAGTATTATTACTATGACTTCATAAAATTAACAAAAAGGACAATGATGGAAGGAAAACGGACGTCCAAATGGTGACAAAAATGGTATCCACTTTAATTTTTGTTCTGATATTGTTACGACACAGAATGAGCAGGTAACACACACACGAATCAATATATGTGGGTCTGGCTGTACTTGTGGGGGGCTTTTTCTCTTTCAACCACATTAACCTCTTCGACTTCGTAAACTCTTCCTTCACTTTCGGCTCTTGAGTGGAAATTAAATTATAATTTTAAAATGATTTTGTTATACACTAAACACCCCTTCAAACTTAAATTATGATTTTAAAAATAATTTTACAGTATACGAAATAAGCATATAAAAAGAGTTTAGTCTTCATTTATATAAAATGTTTTGTTATGCACCAAGCACCAACTTGAGCTCCTTGGAATCTCACTTAAATCATTTACATGTGGAGTCTCGCCTTTTATTAAAGATGACGATGACAAGTCAACGGAGCTAGAAAATTTTTGGCGGCTACTTTTAAAAAATATGGATAAACATGGGAAATGAAATATACTAAAACCTTATACTTAGAGTGAAAATAAATTATCTAATTAATTTCTACATTTAGAAATTAGAATCACACGTGTAATATTTACTATAAGGCGGCTTGATGACCCTACAGCAAACCAGAGCGTGCATAATGGAATGATGATAATAAGGGGAATGGGGCCTTGGATATGGGCCGCGAATGAGCTGTCATAAAAGTTGCATTATTTGAGCACTTTGTTCAGCAGGTAGGCTCCACACAAGCCCGTAAGCACCTGTTAATTTCAATAATTTTTTAGAAACAAATACGTAACTGTCCATGCACTGTGAACCTGATGCCACCACGTATGTTGCGTAATAATCTTATAAAACATTATATCCGATTCTTAACCTGAAAATCACTGGAGAGTTATATTTGATTTTAAGTATAAAACTTCGATTCATTTGGTCTTTTATACTTATTATTATTTTCCTAAACCATATATATTAATTACACATCTTAAAAGAGGTTGTATAAAAAAGTAGTTTCGATACAAGCAGTTTAAGACAAAAATTTAAAAAAACTAATTTGACTAGTTTTTTTAATTTATTTAAGTAGATATCATATAAAGGATAAGAGGCAGCATGGCACAATTTTCCTTTGAGGATGAGCTTTAAATGATTTCGACAGATAACCTGCTCATACAGGATCACATTTTTGGGGCTATGAATCAATGCAAATTGATAATCTTTTTATTCCTAATCCTAGCAGTAAATTGATATCCTTGTTTTGCCTTGCAAGTATGGGTAAACAATATTCTTTACCTCCCATGGTGGTGGTGATTTAAAATATTAATCAATTAGGAAGTATATTCCAAAGAATATTCTCAGTGAACTCAACAGCAATAATGTATACTAACATACCTTCTCAAAACAAAGCAAAGTCGGAATCTTTAATTGCATATCGTGTCATTTGAAGAAAATAAATATTTAAATTAACATCAGCTGTTCAAAAATATATTTGGGTCTAACGTGTCAAAAGCAGGTTGCACTAATGCCCAATATTGCACTCCTATACACACGCCTTAAGTGTTATATGAATTGGTTCTAAATCACAAATAATATTACTGGTTGGATTAATACAAATTTTTGACTTTTAAGTTTACATTTATTTTGGTTTTAATCTCTCAAATTTCAAACTACGGCTTTGATCTCTTAAGTTTTTTTTTCATTTAAAATATTGATTCATATAATACTACCTCCGGTTCTTAATATAAGATCCCGTTTGACTTTTAGTTTGGTCCTAATTATAAGACCCCAATCCATTTTGTCTTTTATATTTATGCATTTTTTTCCAAGATAGTCCTTCTAATAATGATAGTTCTAACTAACGCACTTAATTAGTAAGGATATTTTAAGAATGACAACACTTATTTGTTACAAATAACTAACTTAACTTACTTCCTTAATCTCCTCAAATTAGTTAACTGGGTCTTATAATTAGGACCGGAGGTAGTATAATATAATAAAAAATTGAACTATTTTATCTTTTGAGAGACCAAATTTGAGAAACTAAAACTAAAATAAGTAAAACTAACCTTTACTAATTTATTAAGATGGGCTCTCTTTTAAAAAGATAACTGAAAGGCGCGCATGATTCAGCAGTTGCAGATGAGAGGGACAGCATTCATAAGGGCAACTAAGTGAAGGCCGTGGCTGATAGATATTAATGTTTTTGTTGGAAGACAGGGCCTTCCATTCATGGGGAATGGGACCGCTGGTCCAAAATCATGGGACTCAATTTAAAGATGCATCAAGTGATAATTTTCTAAATTAAAAAAATGTAAAAGATAAAATTCATACTCCCTCCGTTCCTTATTATAAGAGACATTTGATGCTTATGACATGTTCCTATATATAAGAGACACTTACAAGTTGTCTCTACTTTTTTGTGTTGATTTACTATTTTACCCATATTTATTATCTCCAACTCACACTCTCTCTACCTCCCACTTCTCTTTCTTTTAATAATTTAATTGTTTTCTCTCATGCTCTCTCTCCTTATTAATGAGGGCATTTTTGGAAAAAAATTATACTTTTTACACATTAATTGTTCTTAACTAATTTTAACTGTTTTTTTGATCAACGTACTTCGGTTATTTGTCTTTTATAATAAGGAACGGAGGGAGTATAAATTTATAAAAAAATCTTCAATTTTTTTATTCTTAATTTCATGCAGACCACTAGTGCAAATAAATAAAGTCAATGTGAATAATAATTAAACTAGAAATAATACTTATTTATTATAAATAACTAACTTAACTAATTTTTTAAATTTATTTAACTTAGTTAACTAATTTTTATTTTAAGAATTAAAGATAATACTTCATAATGTGACAAATTAATATTTGAATTCTTATAAAAGTGTTCACAGTTAACATTTGAAAATACCGAGCAGCAAGAAGGTAGATGGTTTCTAGAGGACACATGACACGGAACATGTGAAGGGCTTGCTTAAACTCTCCCTGAGTGTGAAAAATACCACGCCCATATCGGACAACTGCCCCACCGTGGCTGTCATGTTTAGTGTTATTTCCAGTTATTGTGCGACTTCATTCTCAGTAATTACGTCATACTCCAGAGACCAGAAGCCAACAATATTGGAGGAAAAAATAATTTATAATCCCGTGGGTGGATAGATTTTTTTTGACTTATTATGATGAAGTCATATGTTATAACTGACGTTCATCTTCTTTAATATCCTCCTTTTATCTCCTAATTGATTATGGTTGAAAGAATATCTGTAAGAGTAATTTAAAAAAATTAATAAGTATAAGAAATAAATTTTATATTTAGAATCAAAATCAATTCAATAAGTTTTACATTAAGAACTGGAAGGGTAACTTTTAATTTTGTTTTTTAAAAATTAATTCTAAGCATGTTTTGAAAATGTCAGAGGGGTTTACTTCACGTCGTGACCAATGAATTGCTCGAATTATGGGAAATAGCAGTCGTTCATTGCACCCAAAAAACAAAAACAGTTGAAGAAGTGCTGAAGTAAAACAATTTAAATTTACCAAGCGTCGACAGCAGGGTTCGAACCTGCGCGGGCGTAGCCCAACAGATTTCAAGTCTGTCTCCTTAACCACTCGGACATATCGACGTGCTGGTGTTAGCATGCCTTCAAATTTACTTATAGTAAACACAAATAAACGTAAAGTTTCCATTCTGCCGAAGCCGAACATCTGTTCCTCATTGGAGTTCGCGAGGTGGACACGGCCCTCGCACGAGTCAGGCATCTTTCAGTGGGGTGGGGATTTGGTAAATTGAGCGGTTGCTGGGAAAGAAAACGCTGGAAGATGAAGAAGCCCTCTGAGAAAGCCTCTGGGAAAGGCCAATCAAATTCTAAAAAGCCGCCTCCTAAGGTACGATTCTGACTAGCTTATTCGTCAATTCCTCCTTTTCCCGCCATCTTCACCATTGCCCCTGAATTCATCAATTTAAGGAGTATCCTCGTTTTGTTCCTGTTTTTAGCTACTGAGAATCTGAAGTTTGGGATTTTGTTCTCAAATACGAGACGATTACTGGGGTAACGTGATGATGGTGGTATTGCGTACCTAAAATTTGTAGTCGGGAATCAGAATTGAGATCAAGTACGAGGCGTATGATTTTGGTCTTAGGGTTTTGCCCCCTTGGCAATCAAACAGGGGAGGGATTTGAAAAATAAAGAGAATGAAAGTATTGGATGGCTTTTGTTTTGCTCATAGAGGATCTATTCGATTTTGAGTTGTCATTGAGTGAGTTTTGCACAGTGCTATTTGATTTGAGAAGCTGTTTTCCCCAGCAAAAGTGATCTGCGTGTTAATAAAAATGTGACTTGATTTTTCCCTAGGCTTTGTTGTTCTCTTCACTGGTTAAGTTCTTTCATTAGATTTGTCTTTTCCTTCCACTTCTAGATCTTCTAGTTTCGCGGTGGTAATGAGAACAAACTTCAGTAGGGTTTTGGAGTGGGGATGTATGCGAACGGTCATCAGATGTGAGTTAAGCAAACACAATACGTGAAAATTGATGAAGGTGCCCATCATGGTCTTATTGCATTTATATTTGAATATGGTTTCAAAACTCTGAAAATTGTGCAAGATTTATTCTTATAACATTAAGCCATATGTTGGAAATAGCTACAGAACTATTACAGATGCCGCTAACCATTGAACTATTGGATTTTTTCATGGGTTCACAAGATTATAATTACTTGACTATCCTTCAAATTACATATTGGATGGCCTTGGTGGTGAACTGAATTCTTTTATGCTATCTGTTGTGTTTTCCTTAATGAACATAACATAGACTGCATTTTTTCAAAGCCAATAATAATTGTTGAATTGTTTTCCTGTTATAGCTGGGTTAGTTTCCAGCTCTTGCAAATAGAAATAGTGCAACAAACAGAGGCATAGATGGCTAGACATTCTTGTAATGCTAAATCTAAATTCATTATTGGTTCTGATGAGTAAGTTCAATCATTCTTGATAATATATTGCCGCTTTCTGAATTGGTGGCTATTCTTGACAGAGAAAACCAAGTCAGGGTTCAGTTGATATATATGCTGCCCAGTGCCAAGAATGCTTGAAATGGAGGGTGATTGATACACAAGAGGAGTTTGAAGACATTAGACAAAATATCACTGAGGAACCTTTTTACTGTAACAGAAAGCCAAATACATCTTGTGATGACCCTGCTGATATCGAGTATGATGCCACTCGAACATGGGTCATTGATAAGCCTAACCTCCGAAAGACTCCTGAAGGTTTCAAGAGAAGCTTGGTGCTGAGAAAAGATTACTCTAAACTGGATCCTTACTACATAACCCCCTCTGGCAAAAAGCTCAGAACCCGCAATGAGATAGCGTCATATCTAAAAGAGCATCCAGAAATCAAAGACGTCTCCGCTTCTGACTTTGATTTTGCAGCCCCGAAGATAATGCAAGACACTATTCCAGAGATTGTTGGGAAGAAGGATTCTGCTAAAAAAAAGATCAAGATGTCCAATGATGATAATCAGGTAGAACTGTAGAAGTATCGTCATGAGCAGTAGATGATGGATGGCCTTTTTGATTGGTATGTTGTTTCTGGGTCGAGCCAGTTTGAGGCAATGAATTCAAGCCATTTCATAGCTGTTTTATTCTGAAATATTCTTGTGGTATATAAGAAGTTTTAGAAACCAATCTCTATCTATCTTAAATTTGTGGATTCCGCTTCAAATTGCTTTCTAACTGGGCTTTACTCAGTTTGAGGATGATAAAACATTACATAAGTTGATGGTAGTACCCCCATTAGGCATATATGCAAGAAATCATTTTTCACTATTAAATTTTAAGATATAAGAATATAGCACATTCTAGTACCGCATTTGCTTCATACTTCTCTAAAAGCTGGTCATAAATGGGAGCATTAACTTGGTAGTAAACAAATGGTAGAATTCTGATCCATCTTTCGATATTAAAAGGGTCTGAAATGTACAAAATTTTCAAACTTCCAAGGAACATGTTAGAATTTGTAACAAAGTTTTCTGTTTATTTTAATTAGAGAAGTTAACACTAACAACCTAAAGTTATAAGTGGGGTTTAACCCATCACTTCTTATTTATAGAAAAGTTTTTATGCCTTCATTAATGGCAAGTCTTCTATTTGTTACTTTATGTGATCTGGCTAATCTCTCGTGAAATTATTTTTGAAAGGAAAGGGTCGGTGGGTTTTTCGCTTCTTGCTGGATTGTGTGGGAACGCCTTTAATGGAAGAAAGTTAGCATAAGGAGACCTGGTGAAAATTCAAGGAAAGAAAATTATAGTTGAATCTGATGCCTGATACCCGAGACCTGATTGAAGCCTAATAACGTATTGATTTTGTTGGGAAAAACACATGAATTCCATTTTGGTTTATTTTCTTATGTCCGAGCGGGTCATAACGAATATGTGACCTGCAATGTCTGTTGCTGCAGTTTCTTTATCAAACGGCCATCAAAACTGACTACAGCAAAATGCGTTTTTAATTTTTGGGCCAGTCGACACATTTAGAAAGTTTATGGCGTACAACATCAGAAGTAAAGGCGCCGTCCACTTAAACAAGTACTGTGAAAAAGTATACCAAAAAAAAAAAAAGTACTGTGAAAAACAACACCCTACACTCGTGAGTTTTGTAAAGTCCCCCGAACCACCATTTTCTGCTAATAGCAATTTGTCCTCCCTACCCAAAACAACTAAGATATCAGAATATGGAGGTCATTTGGCACAAACTGATATAAACTATTTCTTTAAATTTTATTTTTATTTAAAAAATAATATTATGTGTTCTATATTTCAAGCCCCCTAAAAAAAAAAAGATTATGTGTTCTATATTTCATGAGTATAATGGGTGTGTAAATTTCTTATCATTGGAAAAAAACTAAGATATCAAAGAATAGTAGTGTTTTTTTTTTTTTAACGCTTCCAGAATACGTTTTAATATGGCAAGGTTATTCAATTTATTTTCCCCATCCTTCGAAGTTCTCTTAGTTAGGGGGTGTTTGGGTGATTACTCAAACTATGGTTTGAAAAAAAATTACCCAAACACCATAGAAAAAACCAAAACCATGGTTTTGACAGAAGCAGAAATTTTCTGCTTTTGGATGAAAAAGAAAGAATGTAAGAACTTATGGGATATGTGTCTTGTTGTTTTTAGAATAAAATAATATTTTTCTGTTGGTAAAAATTATTCATTTTTTACAAAAAAATTTTTAATCTCATAATTTATAAATATATATACACATATTAATTAATTATTAATTATATTATCTTGTTATTAATTATTAATTATGTTAGTAAAAATTATTTTGTTAACAATTTTATTCTTTCAAATTAAAATATTTTATAAAATCTATCTTTTATATAATTATCATATTAACTTATGTCCTTTTTAGTAATTTGTATATGTAAAAAGTGCTTCTGGTAATAACTATCCAAACACTCTAACTTCTCAAAATCACTTTTTCACAAAATCTATTCTCTAAAAACTATTCTCTAAACCATGGTTTGGTTACATCCAAATACCCCCTTAGAGGTGTTTGGATTTCTCTATAAGTGCTTTTTAAAAGTATTTTATTTATAAATTAAAATAAATTTCTTCACATATTTATTTTATATGCCGTAAAATCACTTTTAAAACTATAGCTTATAATCCAATCATTCCCACGGTTTAGATAGCTAACTTCAGTTCAACGTAAAGAGGCCAAGAGCTAGGGCGTATTCCGGATAAAACCAGTGTGGGACGGACCCTCGCCTCCTCTCTTCCCTTGAATAACCAGACGTCGGCCATCCAACGACCGTATCCGCACCACACGCATTGTAATAACGGTGATGGAGTTCCCCTGTTATCAATCTACATCTTTGATTTGTGCATAAATCTTCGATTCTTCTATTCTCACTTCTTTAAATTCAACATTCCGATCTCCTTGACCCTTGATTTCACGATTCCCCATGAATTTCTTCAAATCAGTCTTCTCCGACGACCCAGATCCTCCTCAATCCGAATCTGCATCCCAGATTCCCGATAATGCACCGCAAAACAAAGGGCAAGACAGCCCTGATCGCGATTCCTCGCCAGTTGAACATGGATCGGTGGTCAACTCAAGCCCTAATGCTTCTGGTGCTGCCGGGTGGAACTTTGGGGGTCTGATTAGAAACTTGACCGTCAAATCTGAATCAATCATCGAGACGTATCGTCGTGATCTGCAGGAATTCGGCACGGAGTTGAAAAAGGAGATTGAGGTTGCTCAGGGTTCACTGGAAACGGTGGGTCACGCCTTTGACGAGTTTGGGAACTCTTTGGTGAAAGGTACGGCTCAGATCATAACTCACGGTAAGGATGCAATACTCGCTCTTGAATCCGATTCAGACAATAACAACATCAATAACCAGAAATTCAGTGGCGATAAGAGCTTAAATTCGAAAGCCTATAGTAGGTTTGATGCTCAGGTCCGTGCTATTCAGGGTGATGCTAATACTTATTGTGAAGAGCCCGACGATTTAAATGACTATAATAAGTGGAAATCGGAGTTTTCGTTGGAGGGAAAACAAGAAGAATTTGAGAGCTATCTCAGAGAAAATGATGACATGGAGAGTATCTACAGAAAGGTTGTTCCTGGTAGCGTTGATCATGAAACTTTCTGGTGTAGGTATTATTATAAAGTTTATAGGCTTAAGAAAGCCGAGGAATTGAGGGCTAGGCTTGTAAGAACGTCATTGGATGATGAGGATTTGAGCTGGGATTTTGAAGATGATGATGGTGACAAGGGGTTTGAGGTTAAAGCTAAGTCGGACCTCATGAACCAAAAGAAGATAGATGGTGAAGTTTTGGGAAAAAGTGTGGATACGGAGCTGCGGGTTGGAAGCTCTTCTAATAGTAATAAGGTGGGAACAAATACTTCTAATGTAGAAGAGAGTCGTCATTTGGGGGAGGAACCTACAGTAGAAAGGAAAGACAATTCACTGCGTGATAAGGAGCTTGGGAACAAGGGGGATAAGTCTGTTGATGAATCTAAAGTTGAGAAAGCAGAAGTTGTTCATCAAGTGGATGATGGAAGCAACGTTAATATCAAGGAAGCAGGTGCTGAATCAATATCTGAAGCACAGGCTTTGGTCAACAAGAATGGCTTACCAACAGAATCTGACTCAAAATTGGCGGTAGAAAGAAAGGCTGATGATGGCAAATCTTCCAGTAAAGCAGCGGAGGAGGAAGACCTTGGGTGGGATGAGATTGAGGATCTTAGCTCTATTGATGACAAGAAAACGACTCAGAGTGGTAGCCCAAACAAAGTTGACTTGCGGAAGCGCCTGAGTGCTGCAGAAGAGGATGAAGACTTGAGTTGGGACATTGAAGATGATGATGATGATGAGAAGCCGGCCAAGCCTTGAGATATTTGATGCATTTGCCTTCTGACTTCTTCCTAAGATATATAAATTTGTTAGTTTGCCTCTGTTAGAGATATTTCCCATTTCTTCATTTTATGTTTGTAAAAATTAATATAGCAGTAATGCGGTCCCTTTTTTCCCTCCTGTGAATGTATTAAAGCAATTGTTTCTCTGATGGTATTGTTTATGGTTAATTTTTTTTTCCCCCAGTATTTTTGGACACACCAGAATACTGGCGCTGCAAACTGATATATTTTCTGTCTTGTTTTCTCTTCTCAATTGATGAGAAGCTTTCGCCTGCCTCAATTGTTCTTTCTTTTATTTGATTAGCATGAGAAAGTGACTAATAAATTCATCCTTTTCCAATCCAAGTGTTTGATTAACATGAGCAAGTGACCTTCACCTGCTGACCAATCAGTTCGTCCCTTTAAAATCCAAGTGATGGTAACTTAATATATGAAGTTCTGTTCTGGCTGAGCGTGCTGTTTATGTTGTTTCAAGATAACCGTTCTCTTTGGTAACGACATCAAAGGGATGCTTGTTACTGCATCAAATAATAGAACGCACTAGCATGTCTATGCAGGAGGAAGGCACTGCATAAGGCTTGTACCTGCATATTTTATGGCCTATTTTCTCATATCGGAGAGGTTGTAGCATCGTTTGATGAACTTTGGATACATTTTCTTGTGGCTGTGGCATGAACATGGTGCAGGCAGGCGATTGGAGTTTTCCATACAATGCTGGTAAGTACCCTTTACCTGGAACTGCGAGTTGAAGTTTTCTATCAATATCATGACTACGATATGAGGTCAGCTTCATTTCTTATACTTTGTCAATTAGTTGGGGTTCCGATAATTTTATTTTGCTGGCTTCACCTTTGAATGAATTATCGCACATGCTAGCTGCGGTGTCGTATGAGACATGAAACAGGATCATTACAGGTAGCTTAGAAGTAAAACATGCATAATAACAACCGCCATAAGTTGCATTTTATATTTGTAGTTTCAAATCAAACCCTGAGAAACATATTAGTCCCCTTCAAGGTGAAACATGTCTAGTTTAGTTAAATAGTTATATTTTAGCTAAAAAATACACACTTATTGTGTTTTAATTAAGTCTAGATCACAGGTCTGATGCTTTACATTGATGTTTAAAGTGAGTTGGATATGTTTGGCGGAAGCCTTCTCTCAATTCCAGAATGGGCGAATCTCTATACGAGAGATTTGTTTCCCTTTTTTTCATCCGTTCAATCTCTCTAATAATATCCGTTTAATGCTACTTCCATTTGGTTATGTAGTTCAGAATTTAAGATGAGTTCGTATTTGGAATCATCACGGGGGAAGTGCTATTAATGACGCAAATAGGCAACGCACATCTAGCAAATGTGACAATATGTGGGTAAGTTTCCCTTTGTTGGTCTCATACTAGGTTCTAATACTTGTACAATTTCTTATTCCTTCAAGCCCAAAAATTTTAGCATCAAGGGATATAACATAATAATAATGAGGATAAAATAAGTAAAGTTAATTTTTAAGTTGCATAATATGATCAATATAATTTTTTTCCAGAAGAAAGTCTAGATAGTTGTAATATTTAAAAGTTGCTAATAGTATGGCTTATCTTGATTTTCATGCAAATATATAGATTCAACCAAACTCAACAATGGTTACTTGACTTTTCTTTGGTCAGATTGTATTGACAGATAATCAGATAACCACGGTAGCTTCTTTACAGGTTTACAGCATATTTAACAAGCTGAACTGGGGATGATCATCACATAATAACAAGGGCAAGATCTGCGTTTACAGCCTATGCATCCCCACTAATGGTTTGGCTTGTTGAAGATGAAGATTTAACAGAAATCACCATTCATACAAAACTCAGCTCTTTATATAAATAACTTGCCTGACTGCTCTACTATGATTGGCATCCATGAAAAAACTATTGTGAACACCACTAAATCTACTCTAAAGATAATGAAAGAAAAATACCAAAAAAAAAAAAATGGTGAGAACCAAACTCCCAATGACAAGTGGACCTTGTTGAACAAAGGGAATAACTCTTGCATTGACATACTCTTCCTTCAAGCACTGATGCTGGGTTCAGAAGAAGAGTCTGATATGTGTGATTCAACTGAGGAAGGTAGTGCCAGAAGTCGTCCCCGTTGGGCGCGTGGTGGAAGATGCTTTGCCGGTTTTCTGGATGGCACATTCCAGGGCAAGAATACCCCAGTTCCTCCACCACCAGCTAATTTTCGAGGACTCACAGGGGCTAACATCACCATTGGAGCTCGAAGTATTCCCCATCTGGGTACCATTCCCATTGCCTCGGGCCCACTGGGAGGTACATTCGGCGACACATATGGACCAGAAATTCCAGGTTTCCAAAATGTCATGGCACTCATCATTGAAGGAGTTGGTGACTGGCATTGGTTGGAGTCTGGCCTCACTCTGAAGAAGGTGATGCTGACCCTTCTGTTTGGGGATGGACACATGACATGCCTCGCCATGTCAGCACTGTTTCCTCTCATCACTAGAAGAGACCTGCAAGAAGATTAGGTACTCCCAATTGAATCACGTGTTCACACTTAACTATACAAAGGTTAGCCATGAAGAGTGCACCAGACTAGTAACAAAGTCATACTATTCATAAGAAATAAGTAATGTAACTTATTTCTCAGATATAGTATATTACACAATATTCAATTTTAGTTTAGTCAAAGAAAAAGCATTTCTTTGAGACAATTCTCGTTAGCTTATTTGGAAACACTTCTTCCAGACAAATGTCAGTCAAGGTTCCCATTCTTGCGAGCTTATTTGGAAACACTTCTCTGAAACAAATGTCAGTCAAGGTTTTAAATTTTAATTTCTTGTGAGCTATTTGGATGTCATCCCTGTAAGAAGTTGGCACCAAATGCTCCACACTACTACCCGTAAGGCCTCAATGCAGGTGCAGAAATGCTGATGGTGCCACATCTAACATTCCTCAACAATATTTTAAAAGTTTTTCATGCATTTGTTATATGACCAATTAATTATATAAAAGGCATGTGTGGACAAGGGGGAAAAAAGCTTCGAAGCAATGGGTACTATACTTGTGAGGTTAGACCTCCTGTGAATAATGCAAGTTGTCCATTTGAAACACATTATCAGTTATATAAATTATATAAAAACCATGTACGGACAAAAAAGAGGCTGCCAATAGAATATTTATAGTGCAAGCCCTTAGGCAAAACTAAGAATTACTTACCTGACTGCAAATTTCTATGTTACTCAATAGAATAAGGAATGAGAGAGACTATAATACACATGTATTTAGTATTGTGATTAAAATTTCAGTTACTATAAATGAGAAATTTATGACAGCAAAGAATATTTATCAATTCTTTAATATATATTTAAATATGAATATACCCCTTCTTTACTGATTGCATAAATGGCCCTTTGTAGGTCCCATCATTTTCGCTTGTAAGGGTGCGCCCAAAAGCCATAGTTGATTCAGAAAGAAGAAGAGTTGACAAAGGTTGATCCAAGTGTGGTGGCTTCAAGAATGGTTGAGAATATTCCCCCTAGATGAAGAAATTGTAAAGACATTACCAAATAGTTATGTCAGTAATGAACGGTTGAAATGTTTGACTAATACATGTTGGATAATAGTAAACTAGAAAGGCTGAAATATTTACCTCTTCAAAAAAGTTGATGATACAGCCATCTGGCCTTCTATATTCTGGAAGCAGACGCCATTGGATAAGGTGATCAATGACACTTTGAAGAAGAGATGGAATTGGCTCTATATTACCTGTAGATAAAATATTCAAAAAAAAAAGAATTTAAAAACAAAACTGGAGGTTAAACGATTTGTAGAATGACTTGTTGGTAGCTATAGAAAAAGGAGATTACAGTTTCAGAAAAATTGTTAGATTATTAAAATGTTTTTCAATTGTGTTGTCCTTACTATTTGCATCCTCTTTTATGTGTCCAAAAATTGGTACGCCCAGCTGAATCATCTCACGTTTGTTTCCCTTCATTTGCTTGTTAAATAGTATAAAAGTTTCTCCTGCATTCATCCAGAAATTTCTGTTAGTCTTTCTATAGTTGACAATCAATAACTTGCATCAATTATTGTCTTTTTGTGCTTAAACCTGTCATGCAGATGACGTTGAGGAAGTCATTCCATTAGAGTAGTCAAGACAATGACAAAATATAATACATCAAGATTCTGCTGGAACTTTAATCCGTTTGATTCACCGAAGTAGATTGAAAATTTGTCGTCTTATTGAGTCTGAAATCCATATGCTTAGACCGAGACTGTACAGAGAATAAACAAAAAGGAAGTTAAAAGAGGCTTACCAGAGAGTTCTCCGTTCTGGCCGGCAGCATGAAGCTCATTGACAAAATCAGTGAGCTTGTTGAGCTCACAATCGGTGAAAATATCCTCGTATAGCTTCAATCCCTTCACCACATTTACCTGCCAATTGCAGTCATCTTTCAATCAGCAAGCAATACCCACTTTGCTTCTTATTATAAACAGTGTACTTGAATTCACGAAACAAGGACTTGCCGTATGCCCCCTCACTGTCTCCTTTGCTTGGAAACCTTTCCTCAACGTTATCTGTGAAGAACGTCCTTCGCATTCTTCATGCTTTGAACATATACTAATGTTCATTAAACTTCCTTGCATTTCTCGACATCCTACATGCCAAATAATGCAGCAGATTTACTCCCATGTCATAACTTATATATTCAACATGCAATGCACAATAATGTCTCAATTTTTTCATCAGATCCAATACTTCCCATAATTTTTTTTGTCCAACCCTTTTTTGGGCAGACCTTTCAGTTAACCACACTCTGAAGTCTGAACTACAGGAGCTCGGTTGAAATTGGACCTTCACACCTGGTTGACCCGCTAACTCACATCATTGTGAAAGCTTTGTTAGGAAGTCGTGGTATAGACCCTTTTGTGAAGCCATGAGACTTGTCACAAACTAAATAAACACCCGCAAGTCTAACCACCCTAAACTACTTATTACGCCCTCTATCTTTTTTTTCATATAAGTGACCTTAAATTCCATCGTGTAAATTAAAAAGTTAGTTAAAGACAATATATAAATAAAAATTAAATTTTTTTATTTAAAATATCTTTATTTATGAGGGAGAGAGAGTATAAAAAAGAGAATACGTTATTATAATAAAAAGAATTATAAAAGAAAGAGAATGTGTAATGAACAAAAAAGATAATTTGAAAAATAAGATAATAAATATATTGAATATTAAAAAAATAATTAATAAGGTAAAATACAAAATTTATTATAAAAATTTAAAATAACTCACAAGTATTGCTTATAAAGAAAAAAATAATAGTTATTATTTATTAAAAATGGAGGGAGTAAAAAAAAATTCAGCGTACCGTTGGTCCAAACTCGAAGGCAACCCCAACCCCAACCCCAACAGGCGGCTACCTGGCTTAGTGGCTTACCCACATGCCCAAGACAAAAACCAACACCCCGGAGTGGTGGGAAAGTGAAACGCGCGTGACGAGCACACGACCACCTCCGCCGCCTGTGAGAAGAACCATTTGCACACATCTCAAGGTGGCTGCATCGACGCTACGCAATTCGCCCCTCCCCAAACTAACCGTACCACCGGATGCGGCCAAACTTTTGCTCGCCTCGTAATTCTCAAACCAAGCACCCCAAAAATGTGGGAAAATTATCTTTCGCAACCTCTGCTTTTTATTATTGACATTTTTGTCCCCTCTAATATCATCGCTCTGACTCTGTCTATGTACACCATTGAAGCAGGGGAATCTCGCTCCTCATATTACTCGACAAAAAGAAACTTAAAATAGGAATTGAATATAAGTTGTAGAATAATTAGTATAAAAAAATAATTAGTCTGAAAAAAATTAGATGGATCAATAAATTAACAGCACATATCATTGCGCACTTGACAAAACAGAGAACTCTAGAAACAAACTGATTTAATTTGTTGAAGAATATCATGTTACCGAACTGGTACCGAGGCAAAAGCGCATTTAGCAAACAGAAAGATGTGTTCGTTCAATGATTTTTTTATAAATAAAAAAGCAACGAAAAGCGATTTCGCTCCGCCCTGCGACAGCTTATTTCCACGAGGAAGAACGGGAAAATCCTGCCGCATACCTTTTTTTTGGGTGGGGGTTCCCCCTTTTTTTTTGGGGGGGGGGGGGGAGGGGACCCCATAGTGAGCAGCAAGATCACAAAACTAGGAGAAATCAGCTCATTGAAAACAAATTAAAATTCCTCCGAGCCTCGTCTTCCTATTTATATGGTTAAAAAAATTAAGATCAAAATTTTCTCAGGTTTACCGTAATTTTGAGTCAGAATAAAAATAAAATTTAACAAAATCCTTGAAATAATCTTCACTATGAATATGAATCATCCGTTGAGTTGCCAATGAAATATCAGCAAGTATGGAAACTCGTTACCTGAATCGGTAATTTCACTGTTGGGCGAATCATACTCTTCAGGACATTCGTCGCCTTCAGAATTCACATTATTCTCCGTTCTTTTTTCCTCGATTTTCTTTGTAGCATCCAGCTGATTCCCCAAATCCTCAATCCTCCTTTCACGTTCCCCGATTTCTTTAGTCTCAGTGTTCTTCTCCGCCACTTTGCGGAGCTCCAGCGTCACGTCAGCTATGGAGTGATATTTCTGCATCTGTATTATTGGGATCCAGTTAAGTCGACGACGATGAATTGCTTTGAACACGGAATCATAGTCATAAGAGGCGTCCGCAAGCTGAGTCAAGTGACCACAGAGGGCGTCGATGATAGCGTTTGCAGCCGCAAACTCACCGCGAAACCAGGAAATCATAGCGTCCTTAGCAAAGGAATCAGAAATGAGCAGGGGCGGTGGTTGCATCGGCAGCATTGTCGACCCTGCCGAAAGAACATGATCGATCGGAGGCGGTACAGGCGCGGTTGCCATCGGCATCAGAGCGAATTCTAGCTAAAACAGAAAGGAGGTGATGGTGATGATAACTATGATAATGAATGAAGAAGTAATAAATGAGTTAATAAGCTTAATTTGCAGAGAAAAGATGCCGTGAAACTAGAAGGAATTGGAACAGAAAGAACAGAGAGGGTTGGTTGTGGTTTTCAAATGGAGAGGGTTTAAGGAGAGATCCAAAGGGAGAAATATACGAATATAGAAGGCGAGATGCTACGGTGCGGTAACAATTCCATCTGCAGATGACGTGGCTCGATCTAACGACTCGTGACTGTCAAAGTTGAAATTAGGAATGAAGGTTTGGTTAGCTCGCGGCGCAGGGAAGGTTAGGACCAAGGGCCTGGCAGAGAAGGTGCGATTGGTTTCGCTTTACTATATTTTTTTTCACTGATATATTAAATATAAATATATTTAATTAATTTATTTTTACTATTATCAATGCCCGTGATCCCGTCTTATGAAAAAAACCGAATACATCACGTGAATCTCATACGTTTTAGTAATTTTCTTGGTGTTAATTCAAAAAGTTAAAATTTGTTAAAAAAATTATACGTTGCAAATTTTTTTTAAAATTGTTTGTTATGAAGATCCTGGGAAAATCAATTTTGAAGTTCTCTTAAGGTCATGATAAATCTCAAAACTTAAAAAAGTAATTATAAAAAATAATTAATCAAAATATTCTTTAATAAAATTTTCACATTAATATAGTGAGACTGAAATTCACGTTCTATGGGATCCAATCATACGAGTCTCGTTTTTCACCGGTTAAATTGCCTTTTATTGAGAATATATTTAAGTTTTTCCCGGGTTAAACCAGTCTGTTTTCTATTTTGTTATTAATTTATATCATTATTGATTGATGGTTGATTATTGAGGTGGGATGTGCGGGGTTGGTGGTGGTGGCGAGTTCCATGCCTCGAATCAAATCATGATAGTTTACTCAAAATTAAAAAAAAAAAAAGGGAAAGGAAACTTAATTATAAAATGGATTAAAATAATAGTTTACTGAAAATAATGGAGGGCCAAAACCCTCATGGCTCGATGGCATCATTTGCAACTCTTAATATAGGAGATGTGTCAAATATAAAAGGAAAAGTTACAGCTCGTTATTTGCTAATTACTATAATTATTTCGAGCCAAACACATTTCATTCAAAAACTACCTTGGTTATATAAGTATACAGTTTGCTTATAAATTATCGTAGTTCATTTTAACATAATAATAATAATGTCAATAATTGAATTGAAAGATCATAAATGACAGCTGATTGTGAACAAAGCCAATACTAATAATAATGTGTAGGTTGTTTTGTTCTTCTTTTGGAGGCAGCCGTGCATGACTTGTACTTAACGCAACAAAATGTACCTTCTTAGCCAACGCATGCACAATACAAACGAATCATAACATTTCAATTATATGCCCTCGTTATTTAATTTTGAAGATAATATTAAAAAAATTAATTCAGAAAATGGATTCCACTTATGCATTGGATTGCTCATCCCCTCTCATCCAACAAATAAAAGGGGGAAGGGGTAAAAAAAAGAATCAGGCATGATTTTTCCCCCCACATGAAGCAAATAAATAAAACGTTGTATTCATGTGATGTTCCAGAAAAAGCAGCCTTCAGTTAATGCTGAACTTATAATAAAAACATTAAAGTGAAATATGGTTGGGGAATCAAATTAGAGGACAATGGCAATATTGGGATTTATCACGCAGCAAGCAAGTTGGCAAGCCCAAAATAAATAAATCGCGCGGGGGGAAGGCCGGGGGCATGTGTGTGGGGCCCACGAGGGGGAAAGAGACGATTCAAGGGCGATGGCCGGAGTTTCGGGGGGTCCCACTGGGGAGGCTGTACTGCCGGTCAGCACAATGCGAGCACTCAGCCACTCACTCCCCCACGAAACAAGGACGAGCAGGAAGCTGACTGTGGGCTCCATCGGACTACGGTGCGGGGGGGTTGTTGATTTTTTTTTTGGGTTACATCAGGGCACGCACCCAACACACACATGCCACTCGGCCAGACGGCCCGTGGCTGGGGGTTGTTGATTTTCAGATACGCCCGACGTTTATTTATTCTAAGTTTTACTTTTTTTTTTTTTGGTAAAAATTTATTAAAGATCTCCCGTTACAAAAAGTACTGCCCAAAAGCGTCTGAAATCTATTGCAACTGCGACCTAATTTCAAGCGATAAACTAATTATGCATAACTTATTTTCAATTATATCCAAAATAAAATATCACATCATGTTTTTAATATAAGAGTTAGTTCATTAATTTGAGTAGATTAAGAAAATTAGTTAAATTAGTTGTTTATAATAAATATGTATTGTCTTTCCTAAGATACCCTTACTAATCAAGTGTCATTTGATGAAACATTTAATATATGTAACTACTATAATGACTACTTTGAAAAAAATAAATATAAGAGATAAAATGGATTAAGATTTTATATTTAAAACTAAATTAAAAATTAAACAAATTCTTATATTAAGTATAAGAATATATTTACACGAAGTGAAGGAGAGATTGCACATGAGTTCCTGGATATCTTTTGAAGATAAATTTTACAATAAGAATTTTCAGCAATTTTCCTTTTTCGTCCGGGATATTTAAACATTTTGAACTAATCTAAATTTAATTCAAATATTTTAAATTAGGCGAGAACTTTTTTAGCAAAATACAAGAACGACAATTGTTGACATTATGACCTCATTCTTCCTGGTTTGGAAAAAACGAAAAGAGAACGAGGCTTCACCTTTTATGTATCAGCACCGAATATCGGATGTTAAGCAGCCATGGTGTTATGAATTGTGATCTTTATTTATTTATTAATTAACTGCACAATTCAAAATGTTTGAATTTGCCTAAATTAGTTCAGTTGTACTTATCTGACTTGCTTTGGATAACGTTCTTCTTCATATGTATGCTTTGCATTACAATTTAATAACTGAATTTATATTAATCAAATCAACTTCTGGGCCGAAAAGGAAATCAAATCAACTATCAGAATTGATAATTTTGAATTAAAGCTATTTTTATTTTGAAATTGTTTTAATAAGTCCTATAAAGAAATTACTTTAACTGCTTTGATATGACTAATTTGCATTTTCATATTAATTCCTTCCCTTATTTAAAAACATGTCTGTAAAATTAATAGATCATGTGGTCGACATGTGTAGCGCGTTGCACTGCTCCATCGCTGATTGTGCCACGTCTTTAGACGAAGAGATTGAATTATAAAAATTCAGATAAATGGAATTTTTTTGTTGGGAGGCATCGCGCGTATAAAGCGAGATGGGCTTGGCCAATAATTTAACCTCAGACGTCGGGCAAACAAAAAAAAAATCAGACCTAAACACATGGGCACGTGCGCCTAATTGGGTTTTTACGGCGGGTCCCGCCAGACACGGCTTGTGATTTCAGGGAGCCTTTGAGTGGAAGGAAGGAACCATTCATTTGATGACATCGATCTGATCGTCGGCCGGGTTAGAGCCAATGCTAACGAAGTATTGTTCTGGAAAGCAAAAGATTGGGTCCTCGTCATTCATTATATTCCCGTGCTATGCTATAAGATTTGATTAATTAAAGGCTTGAGTTTAAAGTTGGAGGCATTTGGTTGGATTTGGGCCCCATCTTTTTCGGGGGAATCCTAATTCAATCCCAACTTTTCTTTCCAACTGGTGGCGTCCTTTCCAGGGTAGGAGGATATATCTTGCTCTGTTCATCTTCCGACATATCATATTAGATTTTAATTCTTAATACTACCTCTTATCTTTTTATAAGACCTCATTCTTAGACTATACTAGCTCCGGTCCTTAATATAAAATCCTGTTTGATTTTTATTTTGGTCCTAAATATAAGACCCTAATTCATTTTGTTTCTCATATTTATACATTTTTTCTCAAACTAGCCCTTCTAATAATGATAGTTCTAGTCAATACACTTGATTAGTAAGGATATTTTAGGAAAGACAACACCTATTTAGGACAAATAATTAACTCAACTTGCTTCCTTAATCTCTTCAAATTAGTCAACTGGCTCTTATAATTAGGACCGGAGGTAGTAAATAAGATCTTATAATTAAAATTGGAGGTAATGTATTTTGAAAAATGCTCGCCTGTTTCTTTCCATGTATATTCGCAAATAATCAATGGCATTCCTATAAATAATTTATCTATATTTCTCCAAAGCAATGACCTAATTATATGAATAATTTTTCTTCCATCTTTTGTAATTTCAATTGGTCCCTTCTCACGTCTTAATTCTTAGACATACATGGCAGTTGATAAATTTATTTTAGTTTTAAATATAACTTTTCGATCTTTTTTATTTCCTAATTTTAATATTTTTTCTAAACAACCCATATTGATTATACAAATTATGCATGTAATTAATGGAGAGAGTTTCTAATATAAATTATCAAAAAAAATAAAAAATAAAAATTAATTTTACGCAGGTATTACTAAACTAATTTTTTCAAGTTGTACGAATCATTGGCTATTTAATTCTTATATTCAAAATAAATTCAGTATAAACTACTAATTATTTAAATAATGACGAAAAAAAGTGAAACAGAACCCACGGGACACCCAAATTGGATTGGATGCACGGCTGCGTGAACGTCCACGAGGAAGCTGACAAGGCATGCCGATGTAAGGCCTTACGCCAATGTTGCATCAAAACTCTGGAAGCCTCCAAATTGACGGTTCAAAAATTAAGGGGGGAAAAGGAGCTTGTAGCTAAATAATAGTCACAAGCGTTTTTTATTCAAACCCACAATTTCAACCATTCTGACTCTTCTCCCAGCCGAACGCACACGATTTCTTTTAGTCTACGGTCTTTTCAGTTCGATTCGATTAATTTTGCTGCATATTAAACATTCCAATCTGGGGTCCATTTGGATTAATGATGATGAAATTGATCTTGAATATATAAACAGAATAGGTTCTGACCAATTTTAGATTAAAAAATAAATCTTCACACGACAAGGGATGTGTGGATTATTTTAAACAGAAGAAAAATTGGTATGAATTCCCTTGTTACAAAATTTATTGTTTGAAGGTACTTGAAATTTTATGTTAGAATTCTAATGCAACCTATCTCCGGCATGATCAATTTTTCTTTAGTTATATGCAACCTGTTTTCGTTTTTTTAAAAAATGAAAGAATTTTACACATAATTAAAAATGTTACATATGATTAAAGAAAAGTTGTACTCGCTTAATAATCTCCTTAACTTTGTACTACTTCCGATCCTTAATATAAGAAC